ATGAATGACTAATGACTTGCACCTTTTAATATTTGCAGTTGGAGGTTAATTCCACGTTGATTCCCACCGAAGCTGAACTCGAAGAGGCCTATTGGAAAGAGTTGAAACCAATCGTAGAAGAAGATGAGAGTGTTTCACATCATTCCGAAGGAGACGAGGCTGAGCAAGATGTCCATATCATGCATACCACAAAGAGTCTCCTAGAGCAGCTCAACCACCACAACATGGTTTTGAGATCAACATAGAGGATTTATTGAGAACGGAAATTGAAAAACTTGAGGGAAGGCTACAAGCAGTTTTATCGACTCGACTTGATTGGGTGGAGAAAAAGGTTGACAGGTTAGTTGAATTGGCTGTGGCGGATCGGTTCCATCCAGCAACTAGTGCATTTGATGGTGCCACTAGTAGCACAGCTTATTGACCAGAAAATGAACCGAAGGATGGGTTGGAAAAGGAGGTTGGGTTTGATGATGTGATAGATGTGCATACTGTTGAAAGAAAGGTAGATTTGCCTGAAAGAGGATTCAAAGTTAGAGGAGGAGGAGGAGGTTAGAGGAAAAAATGTAGGAGGGAAAGAGTTGGAAACTGAGCCTGGATTTGATGATGTGAGAGATGTGCCTGCTGTTGAAACAAATGTAGAAGCGCGTGAGGAGGACCCAAAGTTAGAGGAGGAGGTTAGAGGCAAAAATGTAGGAGGGAAGGACTTGGAAAAGGAAGCTGGATCTGGGAATGATATAGATGAGCAAGAAAATGAAAAAATGATCAAGGAGAGTGTTGGAAAAGAAATAATATTAGAGGAAGAGCATCCCGACGTGAAGAAAGGGACTGCTGATTTTGTGACACCTGAAAAGTATGATGTAGATACAAATGAATCCACATAAGGTATGTAAAAATGAATTCAAAGTTAAGTTTTACATTTTTATATCCAAATGAAACAAATTTTCCACTTCAAATTGCTGTTATTTGCAACATATAAGGGACGTTGTAGAAATCGATGCGGCGGGATCCGATCCATCGAAAGGACGACGGTATCGTCGGAAGAGAAAAGCGCGCTTACTGTGTTCTCCGTACACTGACGTGACGAAGAGGAGAAAGTTGTCGGACATCAATGTATACGATCCTTATCGAGAAGTAGATCCCAGCAAGGTTGATGCTTTTTGCAAATGGATGGAAACTACATCTTGGTGGTAAATTATTACATATAGTTGTAAGTACATGTGAAAGTAATGGCAGTATTACTTAAATATAACTTCGTATTGATTTTGTTGTATGCACAGCCAAATTATACCTTTGTGCTTCTATGATGTTCAATCAAAAAGTTCGATGGATCTTTTGGAAGAGGATGGTTAGATTAATGACAGTGTAAGTAATCCAACTTTAATGATTTTACGATAATGTCACAAAAGAATTCAGTTTGAATTTATTAGTTTATTTTTGTAGATTATGAACGAGGCCCTATATCAGATACGAGAAAGGGCTTTCAGATTTTCCAATCTGTTTTGGCAAGATTGTTGCATATTAGACACTTATTTCTATCAATTTGTTGTCAATGCATATGGCCAATTACAGTCCAATAAAGAGCTCAAATGTAGTAAGAGTCTAATGAATTATGTGAGAGGGGCTACTCCGGAGCTCAGTAAACCTTGGAGACCCGCGATCATTGGTTTGCAGTTCAAGTCGACATGGAGGAACGGGCCATTTTAATGTTTGATAGTCTGAAGTGTCACATTCGTCGGGCAGCGTTGGAAGCTTACCTTTTGCCTCTACAGGTTCTTATTCCATTGATAATAAAATCTCTTGTCACCAGTGAAAGCAAATATAATACGAAGAACTTTAAACTTGTGAATGTAAAAGATGTTCCCAACAAGTGAACGAGTAAGAATGACTAATTTCATAATTAGTAGTACCATATTATCTTGAGTGTTGAAAATTAATACAAAAATTTTACAACTTTTTTGTAGATCCGATTGTGGAATATTCGCTATCAAATTAATAGAATTTTTGCACGCAAATATGGACGTAAATACAATTCGACCGGATTACGCACCAGTATGGAGAAAGAAACTGGTTGCACAGTTGTTGGCTTGGGATTTTGAGCCGTAGATTGTGCTTTGCTCGTATTTTTTTAATATTTTTATAACATTATGTATTCACTTGGTTGTTTTGGCTTTGGAGTAGCAGTTATTTTGGAGTTTGAATACAATTTCAATGTACATATTTTTCATTGTCTTCTATAACTTTAAAGTTTAGATATTGTCTATGTCAGGTTGTTGAGTTTTAGATGTACAAGCCTATATGTTTTCCATTGTCTTCCATTGTCATATCGTTGCAATGTAAGATGCACACTGCTATCCTTATTTGCATAACGACTTAGAACTCGTGATGACCACACATAATGATTCCGAAGTCGTTTCAGTTAAAATTGATACTAAAACAATTTAAAACTCGTTCCTGAGACAAAAAAAATGACATGCATATCGTTGCAATGTTAAATACACACCGTTTCTCTGATTTTGCGTAACGACTTAGAAGTCGTTATGACCACACATAATGACTTCTAAGTCGTTTCAGTTAGAATTAATACTAAAACGATTTCGATCTCATTCCCAAGACACAAACGACATAAATATCATTCCAACGTTAAATACTCACTGCTTCTCTGATCTTGAATAACGACTTAGAAATCGTTATAACCTCGAAAAACGACTTATAAGTCGTTTCAGTTAAAATTGAAACTAAAAGGATTTCTACATCGTTTTCGAGATATAAAACGACATTCATATCGTTTCAATGTTAAATACATTGCTTCTCTAATTTTGCGTAACGACTTAGAACTCGTTATGAACTTAAATAACGACTTAAAAGTCGTTTCAGTTATTATTGATACAAAACGATTTCTACATCGTTTTCGAGACACAAAACGACATTCATATCGTTTCAATGTTAAATACACACTGCTTCTCTTATTTTGCGCAACGACTTAAAACTCGTTATGAACATAAATAACGAATTAAAAGTCATTTCAGTTAAAATTGATACTAACACGATTTCTACCTCATTTTTGGGACACAAAACGACATTCATATCGTTTCAATGTTAAATACACATTACTTCTCTGATTTTGCGTAACGACTTAGAACTCATTATGAACATAAATAACGACTTAAAAGTCGTTTCAGTTAAAATTGATACTAAAATGATTTCTACCTCGTTTCAGGGGCACAAAACGAAATTAATATCGTTTCAATATTAAATATACACTACCTCTCCGATTTTGAGTAACGACTTAGATATCGTTATAAGCACACATAACGACTTCTAAGTCGCGTCAGTTAAAATTGATACTAAAACGATTTCTAACTTGTTTCTGGGACACAAAATGACATTCATATCGTTTCAATGTTAAATACACACTGCTTCTTTGATTTTGAAAAACAACTTAGACCTCGTTATGACCAAAAATAACGACTTAAAAGTCGTTTAAGGTAAAATTAGTACTAAAATGATTTCAAACGCGTTCCTGAGATACAAAACGACATGAATATCGTTTCAATGTTAAATACACACTGCTTCTCTGATTATCATTTCTTCTCGTTCAGAACGACAATGATATTGTTCTAGCGTAATTGTTCCCTGAAAGTTAGTCCATCTCGTTTCATTATAAACCGGCTAAGTTTGAAATCGTTTCAACTAAAATTATAAGTGCAACGACATCGGTATCGTTTTTCACAGTTAAAACAACATTAGTATCGTTATGCTTAAAAATGGCATTTCGGCCATCGGCATACGTCCCACCGTACATATGATGATGAAAACATGTCATCGAGCCGGCTCAATCTCATTCGAACGACGCTATGATAACGTTTGTTATTTCTTAGTTGTCTTTGATACTCAGGTTGTTTTGATAGAAACAGGGCATCTCCGTTAGTTCTTTCGGGTCATTCGAGAGCTATCAGCCCACTTGACACGCTCTTTTGATCGTCATACACATTTCGGCGGTATGTGGAGCGTCAAGGAGGATCGAAACGTCGTTTTTAGGTATAATGACATTAATGTCGTTTCAACTGTGAAGAAATGATACCGTTGCCGTTGTACTTATTATTCCTGGTGAAACTATTTCGAACTCGTCAGATTTGTAAAGAAACGAGATGGACAACATTACGTTATTTCACTACTTGGTACATAACGATATTTATGTCGTTCCTTGTATAATTTTACGATTTCTAACTCGTTTCAGTTTATATAACATCTACAACGACCTCAAAGTCATTTCTTCAAGAACATAACGATATTTATATCGTTATACCTAGAAACGACGTTTCGACCGTCCTCGATCGCTCCACATACCTTTGAAATGTGTATGACGATCAAAAGAGCGTAACAAGTGGGCTAGTAGCTCTCGAATGGCCCGAAATAACCAACGAAGATGCCCTATTTCTATCAAAACAACCTGAGTGTGAAAGATAACTATGAAATAACAAATGTTACCATAGTGTCGTTCGAGTGAGATTGAACCGGCTCGATGACCTGTTTTTATCATCATACGTACGGTGGGATGTATGCTGATGGCTGTGGATGGCCGAAACGCCATTTTAAAGCATAACGATACTAATGTCGTTTCAACTGTGAAGAAACGATACCGATGTCGTTGTACTTATTATTCTAGGTGAAACGACTTCGAACTTGTCAGATTTGCAAAGAAACGAGATGGATAAGGTTACGTTATTTCAGTACTTGGTACATAACGATAAGAAGGTCGTTCTTTGTGTAATTTTACGACTTCTAACTCGTTTCAATTTATATAATATCTACAACGACCTCAAAGTCGTTTCTTCAAGAACATAACTATATTTATATCGTTATACCTAGAAACGACGTTTCGACCGTCCTCGATCGCTGAACATATAATATCTCGAAATTTTATAGAATATAATTTAATTTTATTTATGCTATATTTTTAATGTTTTGAAAGTTTAGGGACTAAAGTGTATATAAAGTAAACTTTAATAATATTTAGATTAAAATATAAATATTGACGGGACGATGATAAGTATACAGATATTGGGCTCGTTGGATAGATAATAATTAAAGACGCATTTTAGACTCGGGAAAAAATTAATTTGGGTTAGTCGAGCCCAAGTTATCGAAGCCGGAAAATATAACATTAAAATATTATTTTTATTACTTTTGTTTGGAAGAATTTACGTGGAGAGAGAGATGAAAGTTGTTGAGATATTTTACTGTTTTATTATTAATAATAATATTTTATTAAGTGTGTTTTGCATTGGGAGGTCTCACGTGAAGTACTAGGATTCTAAGTAGGTGGTAGGTAAGTGATAATTGATTTGTTTATTAAATGAAATAAAGTAGAGAGAGAGAGAGAGAGAGAAAATTATGGGAAGCCACGTTCCTAATGGTTAAAACAAATTCCCTTGTATATATATGGTGCACTGCCACGTGTAAGATATAAATTATTTTTTAAATTGTGGGCAGTTGGCAAGATTTAGGTCAAGATTCTGTTTCAACTATTTTGATCCATATCTCTTTCCCCACTCCCACAAGTTTCCTCATTTTTTTTTATATAGATATTTTTATTATATTATATGAAAACAATAGCTTTCATTCACTTCACTGTAATATTATTGCACGATAAGGCAGAAAGAAAAGAAAAGATAGTTGCAACGTGATTTTGGGTTTTCTTATTCCAAGAAATTGTTGGAGCGTGAACCTTGTTTTGACTTCCAAAATTTAAGCAGTTTAACAAGGTAGGATATGAGGTGCAGTATTTTTTTTAATTTCCCGTTTAATTATTTTGGCTACATGTGGACGAATTTCATATTTATGAAAGTTATGATATTAATGCTATGATATGAATGATATGGCCATTTCGGTACAATGAAATGAAATGATATGATATGATGTAAGCTCTTATCGGATTTAAAGTTATGCGACGGTATGGTATTCTGACACTTGTGTTAAAATTATTTTTCGGGATTGCACCATTAATGTAATATCCTACTGAGTATTCCCATGTACTCACCCTTTTCCTACACCTCACAGGTTAGATCGGGTCCTGTTGGAGCGTGGTGGTTCGATGCGTGGTTGTGCCTCATTTGCTGGACGAGAATTTATAATTTTAACAAGTAATTTTAGTTCATTGTTATAGACATTCTATTTTAAAGATTAAGTTATCAATTATGTTTATTTGCTACATGGATGTTTTTTTGTTTGTTTAATTCATTTTAAATAGAGCTCGAACTATATGTTACTGCTTTTATCGACTTTAATGGTTAAAAGAAAATTGATTAACTGTCAAGTTCACATCAAAGACTTTTGCATTTTTCTAAGGCATCTACAGCCTTTTCAAGATTTATAATATGCATGGCCAAAACAATGATTCTGTACTTCACACAAATTTTCAATTGTCTGCCTACCACAGTTAACTTTATGCAGTGGAGTTGTATTATTCATTTGTACTTTGAATTGGATTTTATGATAAAAATATTCATAACCCATATTCACTAATCATGCTAGTATAAAAGATGTTAAATACGGTCAAATGTCATTTCATTTTAAGATGATAATTTAAAATTTATTAATCATGTGGTTTCCAATAAATTTGATCCTTTTATAATAAAGTTGGTAGCGACTAAAAAAAAATAATAATAATAATAAAATAAAAATTTGGGTATTTACAGTTTGGTATCAGAGCATCGATTTAATTTCCTGTAGACCCACATGGATTCTCATAATTTGTTAAAAAATAAATAAATAAATTTGGACGTGAACAGTGACGGGTCACTGTTCACGCACTGTTTATGTGAACAGTGCATTAAATGGCAAAAAAAAAAAAAAAAAGAGGTAAGAAACGTGTATTATAATGCCACCACCTTTTTTCATCATATGGTATCTTTAAGTTTTCAAAATTTCAAGATTTCCCTTATAATTTTGTGAATGCATGCAAATATGCATTATTTCTCCTAAAAAAAAAAATGATGAACAGTAAGGTTACTGTTCTCGTGAATAGTATCACGTACTGTTCATGGTGTTAGAATTTGATCGAATTAATTGTACGTGAAATGCGATTCTGCCTATATGTTATAATTTGTGCGGGGGCATATATATTTATCAATAAGCATGTGTGTGGATTATATAATATATACGTTGGAAACTACACCCGTGTTTTAACTCCATAGTCCTGCCCACTTTTATAATTTTTAATGGTAAATTAATTGCTTAATGTTGGAGGTGACATACTATGTCAGAGCATTTAATTATTGCCAAAAATGTTGAAATTCAAAGGTCAAACCATCCTTTTAACATTA